ACCAAATGACCAAATACATCAATCAAATCTTTACAGATGAAAAATGACATAGACACCTCACAGTAAAAACAGGAGACTTCAAACACCAATGTGTTATTGTGGGTTGACTAGAGAAACAGATTCAGAGACACTCATATATATATATATGAGTGTTGGGTTTGTTTTCATTGAGGAGCGAAAGACCAGCAATGTCTGCATATTATTGTAATTCAAATTAATTTTGGGATACAAACTTGAGCTTTAGCAACCTGACTTTGAAAAGAGCTGGCTTAATGGAGTGGTGCATTAGTCTGGGTAGACGAGAGAAAAAATTCATAGACACTGATATATGTATAAGAAAGCTTTATATACAAGAGCATTGACTATTGAGAAAACATTCCAGCACAGTCCAGGTCAAGTCCATAAGTCTGATATTAGCCCATATGTCCAATACCAATCTACAAATTCCTCTTCAGACTCACACAACACATGCAATGACACCGAATTCAGGAAGATCACAGGCCAGTGGGTGTAAAGTCTTGTAGATCCAGTAGCAGTGGAAGCATCTCAGGGCCAGCAGGGGTCTCCATGTGGCTCCTTCAGCTCCAGGGCTCTATCATAGCTCCATGTGTCTTCTCAACAGGAATGTCTTCCAGGAAGTGTGTCTGTGTCCTGCCTCCAGCGAGCTATTTATCTCCTTAGTGCCTCCAAATGAGGTCATCAAGCTGCGACCTGATTGACAGACTAAACTCCACCCCTTCACTCGTAAGTCTCAAATTGACAAAAGATTATGTAACTACCACAACCACTCTCAAAGAAAGACAGAACATCAAGAAAAAACCTCAATAAAGACACTAAAAAGGTTCAACAACAAAATCGATCTCATAGACATACACAGAATGTTAAATCCAACAAAAGCTCAGTATATGTTCTTTTCCAGCACATATGGGAAATTCTCAAGAACATCCCACATACTAGGACACAAAACATACCTTAACAAATTAAAAAAAAATTGAGGTTCTACAGACCTATCTTCTCAGACCACAGCACCATAACAGTAGAAACCAAAAATACAACAGAAACATAAATGTAAACACATAGAGAGCATGAGCCTCGGAGGAGAGGGTGGGGGCAGGGAGAGCAGAGCTGTAGGTGTAGGTGCAACAGGAGCCCCAGAGCTGGTGCTAAGAGTGGCTGCAGCTGGAGCAGGCTGCTGAGACAAAGTGACAGCAGGGCCCATTGTGAAATTTTGGATTCCTGAGTGAGGCCTGGAACTCAAATGAGGAGAAACCTTCAAGGAACAGCTTCCACTGAGAACTACCCTTTATAGGTCCAGCAATTTCTGTGCCTTTCTGGTGGTTCAGAGCCCAGTTTCCATGGAGCCAGCAGCAAAGAAAGGAAAAACCATCTTTTTTATTAAACTGACTGTATAAGACATCTGAATGAATTCCAGGAAGAAAAGCTCAAGTGAAGTGATAAAATTATTTTGACATCATTGGAGATTCATCCTATTAAAGATCTTACTTTTCAGAGCTTCAAAAGTTGCGATTTGAAAACTTCATTGGTGCATATTTATACCTGGGACTATAACCCTGAGTGAATCCTGGTTGTTTCAAATGCAAATTGCAGAGCAGCATGATCAATGAGCCAACCAACTTTGTGCAAACAGCCATTGTGACCCAGGAGATGTGTTCGGTGGAATAACTCAGTTAACACCAGTCAGAATCAGATGCAGTCCATGGGAGCTATGGGGGAGGAATGGCAGCCAATATGCAGATGCAGCTGGTGGACACGAAGGCAGGCTAGCTCAGGGCAGCTTCCAATGTTATAGCATCCTGCTCACGCTTTTGTGATTGCTCCTGTGAGGTGTGACTCTCCTGCTTTGAAGATGCTGTCATCAGGTGAATACTGTATTCTCCTCAGTTGGCATGCATGCCTTTGGACTCATGGAGAGAGTTATTTGGATTCTGATTTAATTTTTTTTGTACCATCTCAATATACGGTCTGATAAAAATTTGTAAAAAAATAATTTTACTAAATGATTACAAAAATACAATTGTACTTTAGTTTTTTAAGGATAAACAATTGGCATTATTGCATGCTAATACTTAACAGGAAGCTGTCAAAGAGTAATTGAAATACATATTCCCATTTAGTTTTACAAAATTTTCTACAAAAGAACTTCTGGTGTTTCTATTTTCTAATTGAGCAAACAGACCTAAGACGTTAAATGAATTGTTCAAGGCGTTGCCTCTGGTAATATTGTAAAATTGAGACTTAAATCCATGATCGGTAGAAAAACAAGAGCTTAAAATTCAGGAGCGCATTTCTATCCCAAGTTTACAAGGACATCGTCTTTTCTCCCCAATAAAAACATCTTTGAGCTCCTCATTTTCCCCTCCCTCCCTCACCCATGTCCCCTTGATAATTTATAAATTATTCTCTTTTTTTATGGTGATTTTTTACACTGACTGCTGTATTATTTCACCTACTTTTCTGCTGTCTGTCCCCCTGGGATGGGGGCCATATGTTAATCATTAGGATCAGTCCACCCTTACCCCAACCACACACACACACCCTTACCCTCCTAGTATCGCTGCTCCCCTTATTGGTTTATCTATTCTGGATTCCCTGTGTTTTGAGCTCTTATCTGTACCAGTCAGTGTACATGCTCTGGTCTAGTGAGATTAGTAAAATAGAATTGGGATCATGGTGGTGGGGGGTGGGGAGAGGAAGCATTAAAAAATTAGAGGACGTTTGTGCGTTTCATCAATGCTATACTGCACCCTGACTGGCTCTTCTCTTCCTTGTGGCCGTTCTGACAGGGGGGTGTCCAACTGACTACTAATGGGCATTGGGTCTCCACTCTGCTCTCCCCCTCATTCCCATTGATATGTTTTTTGTTTACATGATGTTAAAATAATGGGGATTAAGATCCCCATTTTTTGTTTATATGATGTTATATATTTTTTGTTTGTTTATATGATGTTAAAATAATGAGGATTAAGATCTACTGGCTAACATCATCATCCATTGTATTCACTGCAAGAAAACAATATTCTTAAAACACAAGTTGTTGTTATGGTCTGTAATCCTTGGCATTTGTTCAGACGTATAATGAAACGAGGCAAAGCAATCACAGTTTTATTGCAATTTCTTTTCCTTGCTGTGTTTTTATCCAATGAAGCACACTTTTCTGCTTTCTTTAAAGATATGTAGTTCATAAGGGTTTTGCTAAATCTCACAAGATTTTAAGACAAATATGAGAACTGCTAGAGTGCAAGAGCATTGCTTACGCTCATCTCTAATAAATAAGTTTATAATAACCCAACGGGGTGGGGTGGGTACCTCACTTCTATTTCTATGAAACCCTGGGGGCACAATGCTTATGTGCTCAGCTGTCAACTGAAATGCCACTGGTGTGAACCCACACACCATTCCACAAGAGGGAAGACTGGAAATCTGCTCCATGAAGATTACACACTAGAAGACCCATGGATAGTTCTATGCTGTCATATATGATCATTATAAATACCAGGATTGACTGGTTAAGAACCATCTAAATTCTATAGTCCAAAACATTAAAGCAAATCACATGCTTTCTTTCCTAAATAGAGGATAAAAGGCTTTAGGGCAAATGCTATGCCAGTTAGACTCACTATGCTATGGCCAGCATCTACCATAATACTCATAAAGCTAGGGCTAATGTGTACTTCTGGAGTTTAATAAATATTTATGTGTGAATATGCATGTTAAAATTAAATGAGCCTAGAGCTAATGTCTAAACAAACCAGAAACAAAAAGCTCACTTTTAAAGGAACTAAAATATAAGCAAAAATCTAAAGTAGCATTTCCCAATCCTGACAGGGAAATGTAAGACTAACTAAAAAGATTTTGAAAAATTAAAGAAGACTTGGAAACAACTCAAATCATTTAAATAAAAATCCCTTTTTCAATCATTTAGAAAACTTTCAATAAAATAATGACATGAGGCCAAAATAGACAGCCATTGATTTAAGCTGTTTGCTATATATTTGGGTGGGGAAAGGGTGGTGGTGGTGGTGGTTGTGGAGTGGGGGCATAAATTATGATGTAATTAATGGGAAGATTAGCAGCTTTAAAATGGCAAATTAAATAACAATGATTTCATGGTTTTCTTATCCGCAGGGCAAAATTTCTCAGTATTTCCTGTTTTTGTTTCTTTAGCTCACACATATTATTCTAATAGGCAAGCATTTTAAGGATGAAAATACAACTTCTAAAGGAAATACTTTTTTTGCTGACACATAGCTAACATTTATTCATTTTACTAACTTGACACTTCAGATTATTAAGATAAAATACCACATCACAAACAACAAGGTTTTCATATTTCAAAAGAATAAATAAATTACTGCCAGAATCAAAATTAGTTCCTTTCTCTTGCACAAGCACTTAGGAACAAAATCAAGTAATGTCTTACTGTTCAATTTCCTAACAGCTCAAAGTATAATCTCACGTGATCAATTATTTTAAAAGCAATATTGTTTCCATCAACAACAAACAAGAGAAACCAAAACTCACGTGCATTATTATCTGAAATTATTGAAAAAATCAACCCTCCCGTTAAAGTTATTTACATATACCTGAGTACATTTTAACTGTGCAGCAAGTTTATATACCCACCAAAGGTCAAAAGAGAAGGAGCATTTTTCTATAAAAACAGAAGATATGGTATTTGAAACCTGTGCCAGCATTATGAAAAGTCTATTTAGGCTTAATTAGATATCCAGTAGTTTCAGCTCTTAGAAACACTAAATTAGGTAACAAAGTGGAAGCCCAACCCCCAAAAGTTCTCTTGTTATATAACAACAGAATATCCTTACCAAAAAAAAAACCAAAACCAGGTAAGAAGGAATTCATTTTCTGTTCTACATCATCAATTTTGTGTTAATTCCCCCACCAACTTCAGCAGCATGATTCTCTACAATCCCAGTGGGAGTTTTAAAAATCCAAAGGATCTCATCTGAGACGAAACTTACCAACAAATTTGATATGGAATTTATTTTCGGGCTTTAATATCTGGACATATAAAGGGCAATTTGGAGCAAAATCTTTGACAGCCCATGCTCTCAAAATTGTTTGATGATCCTGAAATGATAGAAATCAGAAGAGAATGAAATAAATCTACATTTATAATGTTAAAAAAGTCAAACAATTAGTTATATGCTCACATTCATGGTTCACCACTAAACATACAAAATAATTGTGAGGGCTTATCTCTAGGGATATTTTTGTTTCTGCAAAAAGAATGTCGCATAATACCTATTTCATTCAATGCTAGTAATCAATCCTTAGAAAATCAGCAGTGGTCAGGAGAAGAGCAGCTGTTGGTCATTGCCTTCCAGTAGATTCTAACTCAGGACTACACGCTGCCCCGCCTGTGCAGGTCAGAACAGCACCACTTGGGATTTTCAGAGCTGTGATCACTTTGCATGCAGGTCACCAGGCCGGTCTTCCAAGGTGCTTCTTGGTGGGTTGTAGGGGTTGAACTGCCCCTACAAATCAGAAGCCTTCAGGAAATCAGTACAATGAATGGTTTTCAATGGAAATTCCCATAGAGAAAAAGCAAATATAGGGTTATGATTTAAAATATGTCAAAAGAGTTAGAATATGGGAAATCACAGCCATGACCAAATGCATAGTGAGTATATTATTTTTTATATGTGATTTTGGATCTTTCTAATATCATATCTTTTTTAAATCTTTCACTCTTTATTTACAGATTTAAAAAATAAAATCTATTGACAAAAATGTTTGATAAATGCTGAGGCTGGAAAGGAAAAACCACACTTAACATAAAATATTACACATAGCAGTAAACCATAAAAGTATTATTTATTAAAGTGAATAAATCACGATAAATTATTAGAGCAATATTTCATAAAGTCAGCCTCTTAAAAAGGAAGCCCAAGTTTGTTTTTTAGTACCAAATCGAACTCACAGTGTGGAGTCAACTCTGACTCAAAGCAACCCTGCCGTTCAGGGTAGACTACCCTGTGCGTTTCTGAGACTGTAACTATGGGCAGAGAAATCTTCATCTTTCTCCCTGGGAGGTGCTGGTGGTTGAAACTGCTGACCTAGCGTCTAGCAACCCAACAGGTAACCACTATGCCATCAGGGCTCCTTACTATAGTACAGAGGGGCTAAAGCTCCTATAACATATTGGCCAGATGTACTAGGGAAAGATGCATGGAGTATTCAGAGTCTCTAGATGCCGAGGACGGTATACCAACAAGGCAGTGGCCGAAACTACAAATTCAGTGTATGGTTGAAATACAAGAGAATGCCACATAACACAATATCTGTGATATTATGCTAAATTACTCAATATATTCTTGAGAGAGAGAGAGAAACAATGATAACAACAGCTAGATGATATGAATGTTAGAATGATCAGAAAATGGCTTACAGCAGCTAATATAGCCAGCCTTTGTAATCTATACTCTAGCCATAATTTTCCTAACTCTAGTCTCCAAGGCTTTTGATAAAGAACAGTTCATCTAGAACATTATTTTGTGGCTAATTCCTATTCAATCATGGAGTCTCTACTAAAAAGGCCCTTGCCTTAGGAGCATTTTGCATATGACTGTCTGCAAGATGTTAAAAATCCAGACTAATTGTTCTCATGGTATTCTCTAATTAGCTCTCATTTCATTGTTGTTACTACTGAATCACCCCAAACTTATGGTGACTCCATTCTTTATACTGTTGTTCCCTCTAGCTCATCCCTAGCACCTAGCTTTCATAAGATAAACAATGATCTGAAGGGATGTGATGAGCACAGAAACCATTCAGTAATTATTTCAATTCAATGAGTGATGGTATGAAGACTTTATTCACAAGGTTCACAAATATGGCTTGTGATGTTCATACAGTGTGCCTTCCCAAGACATGAGAATCTATGATGCAATGAATGAAGTATTATGTGTGAAAGATAAGGCAGCAGCATACTGTGGCAATATTGTGGAAGGCAATTAACGTCATGTTCATCTTCTGTGACTATACCACACAGTATCTATAGCATCTGCATTCGAGTAATTGTCAGTGATAGATAGATACTTACTACTCTTTGTTTGAAAACCTTTCTGAAATCTTCAATGTTAAAACCCTTCCACCATGGTTGATCCTATTGATATTAGAAATATTGATGACATAGATTCTAGCACTATAGGGAAACACAAGCCAGCAGGGTATGGCAAATTGACAGATAAGTGGTGGAAGAAAACTGATGGTAATAAATTGTAATTCTTGTAAACCTTTTGACACTGAAAGACATACCCTAAATAAAAAATCTCATTCTATATCTTAATCCTTTTGAGTCTTGTACTCATCTATTTACAATACATAAAGAAGTTATGCCATGATGTCCCAAAGTCTCACCAAACTCACTGAGGTATGATTATCAAATAATGAAGAGACAAATATTTAAGCAATCCATAAAGAGGTTCGGTTAACCGAAAAGCATGCAAATGGAGCCCAAAGGTAATCATCTATCAAGAATTTACTGAAATATATATTAGGGCAGATTAAAATTAAATTATACTTGTAGTTTCAAGTAGTACTTCAAGTTTTAAAATACTGTGGCCAGAAAAAACTTACTGAGAACAGATATTTATATAAATTTATATTTATATAAAAAGAAAGATAAACTTTCAGAAACTCCCTAAAGAAGGTACAGTTTATTGGGGGAAAATATAGTGATGCTTCCCCTGGCCTGAGCTCAATGCTTTTGTCTCTTTTTTTTTGTACTTTTGTCTTTCATTTTAAGGTGCCATACATACCTCGCCCGAGGGAGACATGCTGGAGCTCTGTGTACTTTGTTCTCTTTTGTTTCAACCTAGTCATTCTATTGGAATTCATGATAAATTGAAAAACCTATACTATAAGTTAAGCCACTTACCTTTAAAAGACAGAACTTGCTAACTGTACGTGCAGCTGAAATGTGGATAAAGCCTTCAAAGAGAACTTGCTGAGAGCCAGACAGCCACGTAAGTTGTTGATCATTCCAGAAGATCCCAGATAGCCAGATTTCTAATTAATGTTGGTTCTTTTGTGAAACACCCCCAACTCTTTGTTTATCAAACACCTTTGACCCATTGCTCAGAGAAACAGGTTTTGTAAAACTGAATACATGCTGTCTCTTTGAATATCAATAATCAGTCGATAGTCTCACTCTCCCTTCTACCTCTGTTTTGTGATAGGGCTTATTTAGAACAGGCTGCTAGAATCACCTGTGCTTTGTAAACAATAGTGCAAATGATTATGTATTAAAATATTTCACTGTACCAAATGGATGTGCTTGAAAATTAAAGAACAAAGAAATTGGTTTTTTTAATCACAATTTCATCTCTAGATTTTTCACACTGTCCAAAAAGAGCAGCATATAAAAAGTATTAAATTTGAGGCTCAGTGATTACTTTCTTGTGTGACGTTTCATATGTTCAAAACTGAATGCAATAATAAAAAAAATTAGAGTTGTTGACATTTATGTGAAAAACTAACAGACTCATTTTTTTTTCTTCTGACAGTAGCACTGTGTTTAAAGTCAGAAAGAGTGCAATTTAATTGCTAGGTCTGTGAGCTACTAACCGCATGCTGTTAAAAAAGTTAAACAAAATACACCAGAATCTTGGTGTATTAATCTATACATTAGAAATATTAATTACTTCCTTACAAAGTTGCGTGATAAATATATAAATATATATAGGTATGTAAATTCTTTATCCTTCCGAGTACTCATCTACTATCTTCATGGTCTGATATTTTGCATTAACAACAGATAAATATTATGTTTTCATGTTATTGACATATAGCTGACTATATGGGGTGATTCAGTAGTAACAACAATGCAATGAGAGCTATAGTGAATATCCAAGGGCAAGGTAAGACTAATGGTGGCTGTGATGGCTAAAATTATGTCAAGTTGGCTGGACCATAATCCTCTGCTATTTAAATGATGTGATGATGGGTTTTGGCATCTGTGTGTGATGCACTTATCCCTGTTTGTTGATCTATTGTGTCTATCCTCCATTTTTGTATAATAAAACTTCACAGAATGACCTGGCCTTAGGAATATAATGCTGCCTATAAGTGAGGAGATGACATGCTGGTAAATAGTAGGTAGATAGACAGATTCATACAACAGATCAATGGTAAATAGCAGGGAAGCGCTTATGTATTTATTTTCTTTTTACTTCTATGAAGCCAGAAGACTAAAACAGAAAGCTGCTAAGACAACTAAAAGAACCAAGAAAGCTTTATCAATAATTAGTCTAAAATGCATAAGCCTAGCTAAGTCAGCAAATGCAGTTATGTCAGCATTGAAAGAAAATACAGCTAGAAGGCAAATCTACTCATTGCATTTATTATAGTGATACAGAGCACATAAACAGTTCTGAATTGATCTTTAAATTGAATTAAGAATAAAAAAAACACCAACAGTGTCAGAATATGCTTTATTATGATACAACTTTCTATTCGTTCATTATATCTCACTAATTTTAAATCAGTGCATTTTGAGTGACACAGAAATAGGACTTGTACTTCAGAAGTCCTTAATCCAGGCTCGTAGGCAAAGTTCCCTTTATGATAATACATTCCTCATTAGGCTAGAACTTCATGTCACAGTTCACTGCTGTGCCTCACAGCAAGCATTTTCAAGATTAGAGGATTTCAAAGTTTTTATAATAGTTGATTAGTGTTAAGGGATGTCGGGAATATAGGAAGTAGGAATCTTGGCATACTGGAGGTTATAAAAATGAATTTGAACATATAAAGATGAATATTTTGGTTATTAGTAAGTGAAAATGGCTGGCCCTGGATATTTTGAGTGCAGAAATCATATGGCTTACTATACCAGAAAGGCAAATTTAAGAGGAATGATGGCATAGTCATTGTTAAAAAAAAAAAGTTTCAAGATTTATCTTGAAATGATTCTGTGATAGAATAATATCAATTAAGTCCATTTAATACAACTATTATTCGAATTCACGCACCAACCACAAAGGCTAATTATGAAGAAATTAAAGAATTCTACCAGTCTATCCATTCTGAAGTTTATGAAAATTGCAATCAAAATCCATTAATGA